AAAATAGATTTCCACGTGGGATGTTCTTATTGGATCATGCTTATATGGTGATTTTCAAACTCATGTGGAGGTTGGGATAAAGGATAATTATTTACATTTTAATTTCGAGAAAGATTAATTTTAGTTCTATTTGGTCTCTCCATCTTTCCTAAATTTAAAATATTTTGTTTTATTTTTTTTTAAAGTTAAATTATAAAGTTAGTAACTTTTGAGTTAGTCCGATTCATGTAGTATGTAAGAGATCTTTAACTTTTAAATTAGTACTTATTTGGTAATATTTATATTTTTGATTTTTTGTGATTTATTTTTTTAATAGCTAAAAAGAGAATTATATTTCAAAATTATATTGTTTCTTATTTTTTTTAATTGAAAAATAAACAAAAATATTATTGGTTTTACTTTTTGTGCTCTAAAATTTTAAATTGAAAAAATGAAAAATAAAATTATAGCATTAAAAATTTTTATGTTATAATTAATTTTTAATATTTTATTACGTTGGAATCATACTTTTCATTTATGTTTTGAAGAAGAGAAGCACTTAGAAATGATATTGTTTCTAAAGTTCATGCACAATTTTAAAAAAGTTTCCTGAGAAACATGAATAGTTACCCGACGTTTATATTTCTAAAAAATAATTATATATTATATACTCTAGAAGTTGAAATTTATAAAAAGAATATAATTCAAATGAAAGTCAAACTCAAATAAAGAAAATACATGAGAAGAGTTAAGTTTGTGCTGTGTTTGCAAACAATGGAAAATCATAACATTTTAAAAGTACATATAAATTTTAGGTCATGCAATGAATTTTTTTAATTATTATTATTTAGCAGAACCTAACTGTAGATAATTTTTTTAATTCATTTACCTAATGGATAGATGTTAATATAGACCAAGATTTTAAATATAGACATCGATAGAAATGCTGAGGTCTTAATTTCATAGAAATATCGATGAAAATGATGATGCCTGTAAAAGTTAGAGAAATTAAAAAATCGTAAAAAATATTTAAATTAACAAATAAAAATTCTCTTTTTTAATATATTTAAAATAATTAATATCAATATTATGTATATATTAGTGATATTTTGTTGATATTTTTCATATTTTGTCGATTTTTGTAATATGATGGAAATGTTGATTGTCTCCCACATGTCATTGTCGAACCCATGAATATATGGAGATGTCGATGGAAATGTTGACGTGTCGATTAATATTTAATAACATGATATAGACAAATATCTTAAACCAAGTATCAATTTAAATCATTAATAAAATATTAATGATGACACTAATACAATTTTTTTATATAAATTTAAGAACTTAAACAAAATATTTTAAAAATCAAGATCAAAACAAAATAATTTTCATGACGAAAACACATTTAAATTAAAATTTTATTTTATTTTAATTACGTGTGTTTATGTCTTGATCACGATAAAATAATATTTAAATGTTGATTAATAACCAGAAATAAAAGAAATGGAAAGGAGGCTGCTAATTATTTGCCTCAATAATACAAGTCGGTGAAGGTAACGATTAAAATAATAATTTTTTTATTTAAGAAAAAAATACAAACGATTAAAATAATAGTTGAAATATTTAAATTATGTATCACGTTTTCCTTGAGCTTCAAGGGGGAAAAATTCAACTACAAGAAAAAAAATGAGATTTTGATAAATTACTTTTTTCTTTTAATTTAATTAGAATTTGAAAAACATTTTTAAAAAACGAAGAAAAAAAATTAAATTGATTATCAAACAAATTTGTTGTCAAAAACTAAAAATAAAAAATAAAAAATAAAAACGAAATGGTTATCAAATATTTCAACAATATTCTTGTCCCTCGTTTCTTTATTTTGAATAAGTAGAAATAAAATTGTCTTGCGTAAACAACATATCTTGTGTCTTATTATTAATAAAAAAAATAGTAATAGGTCTAATAAGCATTTTCTGTTTTTTTTTTTAAAGAAAGCCTTTGTTACTTTTTATATTAAATATTCAAATATTTTAATATTTATTTTGCATGGTATGGTAATGCATTTATTTATATTTTGAAAAAAACTGGAAACATTTTATTGTTTTCAAAATTTATATATATTTTTATAAATGTGTGCAAAAAATAGAAACACTTACCAAATTACCAAATAATTATGTTTCTAAAAAATAAAAAACAATAAATTGGAAGTTGCCAAAAAGACCCATCAGATAAAAGATTAAAAAGGAGGGAAAAAAATTATTACCATTTCACTTAAAACCATTTAATTTTTCCCAAATCACAAAACTAACAATAATGGATATAAGTTATTGGTAGAGCCCACATTTATTAAGTTGGATACTTGGTGCATTTATACCCAAACATTACTCATTTAATATATAATTTTATTACACAACTCCCCCACTCAATTTGCTAAGACATTTATTATCATAATTAAAGTTAATAATTTGATCATCATTTTGTAATTATTCAATGAAAAAATTGTTAAGAAAATTCGAATCTACAACCTCTAAATTGATCAGTATGACAACCTAACATAGCTCAATTGATTAATGCATTTATTTTTTATTAAGAGTTGATGAGTTCGAGTCTCCATCGTCATTTAAAAAGAAAAATAAATACAACTATTTGATTGATGAACTATTACTATTGAAACTATATATATAAAGTATATTTGCATAGTATTTTTAGATGTTCGTCACATCACTTGATTTTATTAATTATATTTTGGTCCCTAAACTTTCAAAATGTCTTATTTAGTCACTAAAATTTTAAAACTAATAATTTCAGGTCATGTTACTATTATTTTGTTACTTAGGGCTCGTTTGGTAATGTTTCCCGTTTCTCGTTTCCAATTTTCTTTAAGAAATCTTAAGAAATCTAAACATCTTGCAACTAGCTATATTTTTTGTTCGTTATTTTTTGGGAACATTTCCAAAATTTCCAAAATTGTATAGAAATTTTGGAAACAATAAAAAAAGTTTCTTTTTTCTTGTTCTCATTTCTCATTTGCTCCAAAACATAAATAAGAATAGTGTAGTATCATACTTGAGTTCATAGATGTTGAAACCATAAAAATTCACTTTTCTTTATTAAAAATGAAGAAATAGAAACAAGAAACAGGAACGTTACCAAACGGAACCTTAATGTCCGATCATCGAATGCCCGTCTCAGCCAATCAATTTGACTTTGATAATGCTCATATCAGCATATTAATACACATATTACAAGTCACATTATCCATATCTTAAAGAATTGATGAAAAACAAAAACGATCCCCAAAATGAATATATATTTATATAGTTTCTAGAGCCAAAAGTTTTCTTGAAAATATTACAATCTTAAAAAAAAATGGTCCAATGGATTTTTGCCAAAAATAAATAAAAGAAGAAACAAAAAGAATTCCTCTAGACTTCCTCACTTATCCGATTGTTGCTGAACAATTTTTGGATATCAAACGACCTGTAATTTTAATGTGTCTGATTTTTCCTCTTTAATAAAAAACAATTATTGAATGTCCTTGTATTTATTTAAGTGGAAGGGGAAAAATGATAATAATATATTTTTTTAGTTTTAATTTATTCGTAAAACAATTAAAAGTATTTTGATAAAAAAACAAAAGTTCATGTGTGAAAATACTACTTAAATTTATTTATAGATATTTTATTGATTAAAAACTTGTGGGAAAATTTAGGCGAGTTATTAATTTTTTGTCTTATATGCTTAGTTGTGTGATTTAATTTTTTACATTAGAATTTTAATTTCATTAAATCAAATCTTAAAATATAATAAAAATTGAAATAAATAGCCAATCAAAACATTGGTGGAGAACACCCCTATTAGAAAAAACAAGACATTAAATACCATTTATCAAAATCAATTTATAAAATTAATGAAAAATTAAAATTTTCCAAAAATATAGTCGAAGTCAATTAAATACCAATAATTTTGCTAACATGAGCATAACTAAATTGTTTAACAGGTTGATTCCTCAACTAATTATTCACTCGAAATATAGTTCAATTTATTAAGACATTATTCTTTAAGATATTAATAACCTCGGGCCACAGATTTCAAATACTCACCTCACATTGAACTAAAAGATGAAAGTGTTGAACTATTACTTGTTTTTAATCCTTTTTTTAATTATTTCATTTTTAGTATTTACTATGAGGGTACAATTTGATTATTTCATTTTTCACCTATTTTGAAAAATATATTTAAATTCTTAGTCAAATTTAAAAAACAAAAACACACGAGTAGTAATGTTTATAAATTTAATTTAAAATAGAAAATAAAAAACAAAATAGTCATCAAACAAATTCAACTTAAAAAAACTCCAACTTACTCATAAAATCAAATGGCAAACGGCTCAAACTCTAAATCACTTAAACTCAACTCAAACCAAAACAAATAAAAGAATCACTTAAATACTAAACTTAAATTTAATTTTGTGTCTGATAAGCTCTTTGAATAAGTCAAGTACCTATCAAACACCAAATTAAAAATTCAAAAATTTATTAGAGATACATAACCAAAAGTTAAAGAATTTATTAGACACTCCTAAAATTTATTAGTAAAATACAAAACTTCACTCTACTAATAACTGTATCAAATCGAGTGCCAACCTAAAATAGTTCAACCAGTAAAAATACCTATTTTCAACTAAAATGTATTAAGTTCAAATTCTCACTCCAAATATTTAAAAATCTAGATCGAACCTTGATCGAACTATCGTTGGACAAAAGTAAATAAATCAAGTATCAATCGAAATAGTTTGGTTGGATCGATAAAAGTATCTATTTCCAACTAAAAAATTTAACTTCAGATGCTCACTTGAAAATCAAGATCGAGTTTTACCCGAACCGTCATTGACCAAAGTAAATAGATCGAGTAAAAATAGTTCAAATACCAATTTTAAATTAAAAAGTTCATGGAGTTCGAACCCGACCCGTTAAAAATCCGCATCGAGCTTTGGCCGAACCGCCGTTGGCCAAAGCAAATGGATCTGACGCTGACTCTCTCTCTCTCTCTCTCTCTCTCTCTCTCTTTCCTTGTGACATAGAAAGTTAGTTCGGTGACTGGTTTCTCCTCCATTTCCATTTACTCCTCTCTCTCCTCTCTCTCTCTCTACCTAGATTTTCCTTAATCCCTCCCTCAATCATAGCTACGGATTCGGTTTTCTTCAGCAGTTTCATGTTTGTTTTGCTGATCGGAGCTTGAATCGTCGCCGCCGACATGAACCGCAACTGGAGGGAGCCTCTTTCCGCTCCCCGGAATGCTCCTCTTCTCTCCCACCACCGCCGTGGTCATAGCTTCACTGCAATCTCCCGAGATTCCGATGAGAATCTCGATCTCTTCTCCAAGAATCGCCGCAGTCTCTCCGTTGCTGCCTCCGATGACTCCTCTGATGGTAATCACTTCGTATTCTCTGCTGCTGATTGCTCGTGTGTGTACTCTCGGAGTAATGTTGCGTCTGTTTGTTTATGTAATGGCCTGATTAAGAGGCTGTTGTAGTTCTGAATCTGATTGTTTTACGCCGAGTCGTGATTCTCGTCAACTGAATGGACGGATTGAACTGTTGTGTCCTTTTGCCATTCAGATTAGATCGTGTACTTTGTTAATGTTGTTCTGGTTATTTCTTACTTTGTGATCTGATTTTTGGATGTCAGCGTCGGTGAAACTGGGGAGGCTTTCGGTTGGATCGGTGAAATTGGCTAAGAATGGGATCGACGATCTGCTCTCATCGACTGAAGGAGGAAAACACGACTACGACTGGTAACTATTGTACAAATTAGTATAAGCTTCAACGATTTCGACACTTTTTCTTGCTCTGGAACTACTGCTTATCAACGAACTAGTCCTTGAAACAGCTGAGATTTCATTTATATCAAAATGTTGTATAGGATTAAGGAGATGGCGGAGAAGTTGAAAAACATATCAGCATTTCTAAATTCTACCCCGATTTGGGCAAATCAATTAATTTTCCAGGACCATATATATTTACTTGATCTATTTATGTGATACATCAGCCGGGCCCTTTCGTGCATTATTTGAAGTATCTTTTAAGAGTGACACTAGCATATATTGTGATTAGAAAGTTGTAAGTACATGTCAATGACGACTTGTCAAAAATATGAACACCGATGCTTGCTGATGAGGAGTTATATAAAGTAGATGCCAGTTATTCTGATCCTTCTTTTAACTGATAAAAGTGATGGGCTTCTTTTCTTCTCTGAAAAAGAAAATGAGGTAGATGCCGACTCGTGTTTGAAACTTCTAAGCACAACACTTAGCTGTTTGAGTGTGATGCACAATGTGTTCTGAAACATGATTCTTCTCTGGTGCCTTTCTTTTTGCAGGCTTCTAACGCCTCCTGGGACTCCTCTTTTCCCTTCATCCTCGGAAAGTGAAGTTCAGTCAACTGTAGCAGCACCGAGAAGTAGCACCTTAGTCAGGTCGTCTTCCACAACAAAAGCTTCAAGGGTAGGCTTCTGCCTTCTTTACTACCTATGATTCTCTTCAGTTGCATAATATATAGTGATACATTATCATCGCTTCAGTTTGCTTTCTTCTATTTTGTGTGCTCGAGGTACATTACAGAAACTCAGAGTTACTTGGTACATGTTAATGTTATGATACAAAAGCGCTTTTCTAAGCAGGGATAACGATGATCCCTCTTCAGTTGTATGATCTAGGATGTTTATTATTGCTTGCCATATCTGTTTCAGCTTTCAGTTTCACACTCAGAGAGCAACAATTCTTCAAGGCCAGCTAGGAGCAGCTCTGTGTCTCGGTCTTCTGTCTCCACTCCACAGTATAGTAATTATTCCTCAAACAGGTCTTCATCAATTCTTAACACAAGCTCAGCTTCGGTTTCCTCTTACATAAGGCCTTCCTCCCCAAGTACACGTAATTCATCTACTACAAGACCTTCTACTCCATCTTCACGCCCGACAGCATCGAGGTCCTCAACTCCTTCAAGGGCTCGTCCATCCCCCACCAGCTCCTCCATTGACAAACCAAGGCAAATTCAAAGTTCAAGGCCATCCACTCCTAGTTCTAGGCCCCAAGTTCCTGCAAATTTGAGTTCTCCTGCAGCCCGGTCAAATTCCCGTCCATCTACACCCACTCGACGAAACTCCGCTCCTTCACTCTCTTCTGTTGTAGGCGCTCCATCTCCTACAGGGCGTGTTCTATCAATTAATGGACGCAGCTCAACATCAACATCTCGACCAAGTTCCCCTAGTCCTCGCGTCCGGGCTTCACCTCAGCCAATTGTCCCTCCTGATTTTCCCCTTGATACCCCTCCCAACCTCAGAACAACATTGCCAGACAGGCCAATTTCTGCTGGTAGATCCCGCCCAACTCCTGCTGCATCAGTCAGGGGGAGTCCAGAGCCTACATCGACTGTTACCATGCCTAGAAGGTCGGCATCGCCTACTGTCTCAAGGGGAAGACTAACCGACACTCCTGGAAGAGGTCGCGTGAATACCAATGGACACCTCAGCGATGTTTCTGAACCTAGGAGACTTTCAAGTTCCTCTGATTTGGGGGGAAGGAGACCTGTGAAGGCTTCTACAACTACAGCGGAAAGCAATGGATTTGGAAGGTCTATTTCAAAGAAATCACTTGACATGGCCATCAGACATATGGTATGCTTCACCTTCTGTTCTGAAGATCGAACTTAATCCTTATGCTGTTGATTATGCACAGGGCACGAGGAACACAAGTTCTATGATGCCATCGAATTATTATTTTCGTTGTTCAACGTATTTTAACGCTCAAATCTGCTCATGTGGTGCAGGATATAAGAAATGGCCCTGGTAGCATGCGCTCAGGTTCAGGCAATACTCTATTTCCCCACAGCATTCGATCGGCCACTTCCAAAACTCAGTCCATTGCTTCAAATAACTCCGAGGCCATCGATACCGACTTTCAAACGAGCAGCAACAGCTTTATGGAGAGAGGAAACCATTTACATAGATCCTCAGAAGGTGGAGGAGAGAATGGACGGTTTTCTGCAAGCTTGAACCATTTGGACATCTATGAGAGCTCCCGTTATGATGCAATATTGCTTAAAGAGGACTTGAAAAACACCAATTGGCTGCACAGCGCAGATGATAAAACCGATTTGGGTTCCATTTTGGATAATGGATTTGAAGCTCTGCCAGAGCCTTTTGGCCTCCTATAACATCTAAAGATGATGATGGGGTTTGTATTCTACTTTTATTTTTGTTTTTAATTATCATTATTAATTTTTTGGCATCATTTTGGTTTTGAAAATGATGGAATCTGCCCAATTGCAGTGAAGCCTCAAAAGGGAGAAGAAAAAAAAAAAATATATATATATATATATGAAGAATTGTATGTGATTTTCTGAAGGAAAAAAAAAAAGTTTTGTTAGTTTCCTTTTTAATTGTAGGCTGGATCTGCTGTCTGCACTTTGAAGTAATCTCTGTACCCCAAATAATTTTTTTTTGGGATAAAGTTGTCATTTTGTCATCAGTAAACTTGTATTTGTAATAGGGACTATCCTGTTTTTTTTCTCTCTCTTTTTTTAAAAAGTTTTAGTTCTAATTTGATCCGTCTGAGTTTCAAAATTTTCTAGTTTATTCTATTTTGGTCTTTAAAAATTTTTAAATGTTTTTGAACTTTAAAAAATAACCATTATCATTATTTTTGCTTTATTATCATTATTTTTGGTTTTAACAAATGGAGACCATGACTTAAGTAGTAAAATTAAAATTGAGTATCTAGTAGATGGAGATCATGGGGCAATAAATGTTATTTACAGGAGAGCTAAATTTTTGAGAATATTTTCAAAATTGTTTAGGAAATTTCAAAAACAATATGATGAAATTTCTTGTTGTTTGTTTTCAATTTTTTTTTCAAAACAAAGATAATAATAGTATTAGAATTTTCTGTCTTATAAAATTCATAACAATATAATATAAAATCTTGAATATTTAATTTTCGTACACAAACTTTATTGTTTTTAAATTAAAATCTTAGATAATGTTTTTTGAAAAAAAAAAACATAAATAATGTAGTTTTAAAAGTAATAACAAAAATAAGTTAGTAAAATCGCTGGAGCCACGTGGGTTTTGAGGGAAATGCGATCCCCTACCATTTCTACTGTTATTTATTTTATTTTATTTTTAGTTTTAAGATTTTTTTTAATAAAATAATTTTTAAAAAATTACATAAATAATATAGTGGTAAAATCTAATTTGGTTGGGATGCTTTTCCATAGATTTGTTTTCTAACCTAAAATAGATTTGTTGTCTATTTGATCTTATTGTTGTCGGAAATTTGGAGTATTTTCTTTTCAATTTGTACGTTATCATTATACATCGTTGATGTTTTTTCGACAAATTAGACTAATATATTTTTATTTATATTTTTTCTATAAAATATATTTATTTGTTGGATGTTGATGTATGCATGGATCTATACTTTTAATTATATATTCAAAATAGCTAAAATAATAATAAAATAAATAATATTTGTTTGTAAAATAAATAACAACATAGATATAAATATATTAAAAATATTTTAAGAAAATCGCATATCCACCTCATATATGACTTGGAACTTAAATCGCATCCATTATCTCCAATTTATTACTTTGATTTTGACCAACATCTAGTATATTTTTGTCAATAGTTTGGATCCTTTAATTTTGTAATTTTTTTACTTAAATTACATTTACTTTGTTATTATTTTTAACTCTACATTATTTTTGTGATTTATTTTTAAAATTACATTATTTTTACAATTAACCCCTCTTTTTTCTTCTTGAAAGCACCTCATTTTCTGGTAATTTCTGTTAATTTCCGAACCTACCCCACGTGTTATATTACAAGAAGAGGCCCAACTGGTAGGGCCCAAAAAGATGGAGGCCCAACCCAAAATTCATTCATCTTCGTCTCTAGAATAAAAATAAAAAATAAATTGTAAAGAATCTGTCCACCATAGCCAAAATATTTGCCATATTTATAAATATAGCAATAGTTTTTAGATCTTATAAATATAAAAGATATTTGGAATCTGATTTTTTTGTTTTTTATTTATATCGTTTACCTTTCTCGATTTTCAAATATATCGATGTTTTGTCGAATCATGTATATCATTGTTTGAGCTTAATGTTCCCTAAAAGTAGATTGAACTTTTGCTTTCTTTTGTGTGGGTAAAAAATTAGGAAACTTTTTTTTAATGTCTTTTCTATGTTATTTTATTATCGAAATTAAATATTTTAAAGGTTAAATATATGTTTTAGTTCTTAATATTTGAATTTTTCCAATTTAACCCCTGACATTTTAACATTTTTCAATTATATGGTCTCACCGTTATGAATGTTAAAATTGGTTAATGATAACTTACATAACACAATACTTAGTGAGTTAGTAAAAATATAAGGAATGGATGATGTCACCTAAGAAAATAAAAGTTGATTTTTTTTTTTTCAATTTCTTAGTAATTTGGTGGGAGGAATTGTCTCCTCTATTTTTTTTTGTTTGACTCATTAATTACTCTGTTAGGTAAGTTTGTCATCGGCCAATTATAAACATTCATCGATAGTAAAGGTATGACTAAAAAAATGCTAAAATATAAGATTATAAATTGAAAAAACACAAAAATATTAAAGATTAAAAAAATATTTAATCTAATTATAATATTATAGAGTTAAAAGTTTAACAAAAACATGTACGACCAGATGTAGCCAACTAGAGCATAGCTTAGCGGGAGGCACGTGTATGTATTCAACCATAAGATTGAGAGTTTGAATCCCCACGTCCACATTAGTATAAGGTTGAAACTATTTTGCATTTATTTTGCAAAATACAGAGATTAAAGATTCATTTAGTAATACTTTTTATTTCTTGCTTTCAATTTTTGAAAAATATTAGCATCTAGTAACTGTTTTTGTTTTTCTCTTTCTCATTTTTCAGATACACCTCTAGTAAAAATTTTGGAAACAACGATAATCAAGTTTCTTGTTCTATTCCTAATTTGTTTTTTAATTTTTTAGATAAAGTCACTGTTTTATCATTTTTATTTTTTAAATGCATAGTACACATCAAAAGAACAAATACAACATTCAAATTAAATTTCATATAAACCTTTTAAGTTTTTTTAATCTAAAAAATTATAGAACAAGAAAGAATAGATAGTTACCAAATTATGCTTTCGTTTCTTTTTTTAATAATAAAAAAAAGTGATGAATTCTAATTTTCTTAATTGAAAAAACAGGAAACAAGAAACATATATGCTAACAAATGATCTTTTGGACTAAAAAATTCACATATTAAAATTTTAATTTACAGGAGTATAAATGATGGCCCATTTAATTATATAAAATTCCAAGTCAAACATTAATAAAAACATATTTGTTGTTATAAAAAAAAAAAAAAAACATAGTGCAGTTCAACCACTTCCACATTTTGAAGAAGAAAACAAAATAAAACAAATGTACAAATTAAATTACAGCAGAGATGTCTTTGTTATTAGCATCACCATTTTTGGCCCAACCATTATTGACCATTTTTCTCTTTTTGTTTGAATTTGGTTGGTGAACTCTCATTTCAATTATAATATATTTCCTAAAATTGATCAAATTATTACACAAATGTAATATGTTCTAAACTTATTGAACAATGTTGATGAATTATTTAGAATTATTTGTATCTCAAATAAAACTCTTTGCGATTTAAAAGACCAAGAATGAAAAAATCATCTCTCTCGATCAACTTGAGTGTAGCTAAGACATATATTCTTGACCAATTGATTGGAGGTTCGAATTCTCAATCACATTCGGACTCGCAAAGTTCAGATTGTATGTATGGAAGTACGAAAGACCTGCAAAACAGAGTTAGCACTCTGAGGCTCTAGACAGTACATAAGCCGATCTATATTCGAGAGAGAATGTATTTTGAGTACCTTATATGAGAGGTGGGACTCTCTATTTATAGATGCAAGCTCTCGATTGGACTTCCAACAACCTAGGACCAAGCTATCGTGTTGGAGAGCATGTCTATCATGTGTGCACCTGCGGTTATTCTTTAACTTCGATTCGTACCTAACAAAGGTCGACCAGTACGTAAAATGTAGCCCGACTCGACTTCAGATATTGAGACGAAAGAACTTGTCTTCATTAAATATTTTCAAGCATCGTCGATGAATAAATAAACATGGTTATCTAAAGATATCAAACATTTAAAATTTCAAACAACCGATTATCGAGTTTATGTCATGTATTTAAAATTTTAAAACAAGTGGTCCCAAAGTATAACATTAAAAAAAAAAAAAAAAACTCTTAAAAGCAAATTTGAAAATAAAAGCATGAAAAATATTTTAAAGAATCACTTCCGAACAACCATATTAAAAAATAAATAAATAAATGGTATAGAAAAATTACAATATATAATATTCAACCATTGGATATATAGTAAATATTCTCCTTCTTTTTCTTGTGATAAAAAAAAAAAGATGCACAAAATATCTAATTTAATGAAGCTTTTGAACCAACCTATAATTTTGGACCACCACTAAAAACATAGGGCATCCAATGCCCTATTAGACAACAATAATTATCATTTTAATAAGGACCAAATAGCAAATTTTAATTTATTTAATGATCTTGTTTACGATTTAAATTTCTTTTCTTTTTACTTTTATCTTAGTTTATTTTTATTTTTCAAAAGGCATCACGTTAATTTTTTTTTATTTATTCGGTCGAAATCGAGTATTTGAGACCGAAAAAATTTTAAAATTATGAAATCCATGAACAATGGTCTCAACAGTTTAATTGAACCAAACGGCAATAAAACTTATGGCTAAAATTAAAAAACAAATTTCATTCATATTTCTAATTTAGTTAATGAATTAAATGTTGGAATTAAAATGCTACTACAACATTACTGTTCCTTGGGAAATTAAATTTTTATTGAATGAATTATTACAGTAGATGCTAGTGGAATTTGAAAATTTATATATATATTTTTTAATAAATCCATTCTTTTGATTTCTTAAAAAAACAAAGCCATATTAATTTTATATGGATAAAATATTCCATTCAAGAGATAATTAATATTTTATTTACATGAGGAATATTTCTTCTTTTCAAAAATAGATATTGACCATACCTATTGTGAGAGGAGATCCTATTCTTTCTTGGAATATAGGACTAAATTTTTGGTTTTAATTTTTTAAAATTATAATCTCGCTTTTCTAATACATTTTTTTATTTCAATTTCATCAAGATTTAAAAAATGGTAAGAAAACAATTAAAAATAAGAAAGCATAATAATAAGGTTTTAAAAATTTTAATTACCTTGTTGAATTTTCATGAGAATAATTTCACCAACTATTTTTCACATTATATAGTTTCCAACAAAAGGAAATTAAACAAACAAAGTGCCATAGATTTTGAAAGAGGCTTTCAACCACCCACCCTTCAATTATTTTATAAATATTCAATGCTACCTAATTGAAATATGATTTAATAAAAGTTAGGTTAAAATATTATTTTGGTATTTGTAGTTTCAGCTTTGGTTTGTTTCGGTCTATCTACTTTCAAAATGTCTATTTTAATTCCTATATTTTCAAAACGTTTGTTTAGATCCTGTACTTTTAAAAATTGACCATTTTTTATACACATTTGAAACTCCTTAATATAAAGCTATTGATATATTTCAAGTATAGTGTCGTGTTGAAAATGTGATTGAAACAAATTTAAATGAGATAAACATTCACTTCTTAAAGGTACAGGAACCATAACAAACGTTCCAACATTCCAGGAAGTAAATGGACAAAAATAGATAAAAATTAAAAATATAGATCAAAATGGAAATTTTAAAAGCACATAAACAAAAATGCACAAAAACTGAAGATATAGAGATCAAAATAGTATTTTAACCCAAAAGTCACCTTATAAATTTAGCCCACGTAATTTCAACATTCTACCCGTTTAGTCTATAAATGTAAAAATTATTATAAATATTCAATTTTCAGTCTTGTTCTACCGTTACCAACCCTACATATTGGGAGAAAGAACACGCACACGCGTGTATATATTATATATATATATATATATATATAATGTGGAGTTCTCTACTATTTTTGTCATGTTATTAATTTCTTATCATTGAATTCCCTGCTATCCTAGTAAGTTATGAAGTTATTTTATCTACCTTGAGTGAGAATTCGAATATTCGACTTTTTTAGTGCATCATATTTAAGATGGAGTTTCGAAATCATAACTTTTTAGTCGGAAATGAGTATCTTAACCAATTAAGTTCTATTAAAATTGTCATATGTTTTAACAAGTTGAGATGTGATTAAGTCGGCGATATATACTGCTTTATACTCAATGATAAATATCGTAAAAGATAATGTTGGTTTACTGGGCAGGTTAGTTAATTAAGATTAAATAAAAATTTATAAAATCAATGTATTGCTAATTGGAAAAACTAATTTGAAAAATTCAAAACAGTTTTTTTTTTTAAATCTTCATATTATTATGCATATTGAAATCACTCGTGGACCTTTGGCAAAAAGAAAACACTCTTAGTAAATCCATAATTCTAAAAGTAACTTAATTGTGATAATACAATTTAACTCTAAAACAAATTTTAATCTAACTTGACAGAATTAGAATACCTAATAGGTCGTGAGTTCCACTCCTACACGTCAAATTAACCAAATGAAGTTTAAAAAATAACTATTCAACGTGATGACCACATAAATATCATATTAAAACCATACAAATTTATTGACAATTAAATATTGTACAGAGAGTCTTACATTTTTCTCGCGATATTAGATGAGATGTTTATAGAGCGGCTCAAACACTCGTAAATATCCAACAAAACATGTTATTACCAATTTCGAAGGGAAGAAGTAATTTTTACATGAAAAATATTTTGTGTTGACCACGATAAGAATTTGATGGTTTTCTTTTTTCTTTTCCTCTCTGAAAAACGAAAAAGAAAAATCAGTTTTTTTCTGTATTTATCTATCTGTCAAAAATGATCGTTTTTTTCTCTATTTATCTATCTGTCAAAACTTTAATAATATTGGTAAAAAATAGTGCAAAACTCCATAGGAAGTCGCACTGCAAATCAGGGTCCAGTGATAAGCCGCCACGTGGACTCACAAAATCAAATGCAGCTATTACAGCTCCAACGAGTAAAAAAAAAGACAGAAAAAAGATTTAATTTTTCTTTTTCTTTTTTGAGTTCTGAGCAAATCCCAAAAGTGGCGGTGAGATTCCCATCTGAAGAACTGACTCCGCGGCGGAGAAGAGTGACTCGCGGCGGCGACGACTCGGGAGGGGAAAATGCGGCGGTGGCATCGAGATCCGAGCAATCGGAACAGTAAACGGCGGTGGCGGCGTTGGCTTCACGGTGAAGCCAAAGCCTGAGCTCAAACGGTTGATTCCTCTGCTGGGGAGAATCCGAAGACCCCCAAAAGGGGAAAAAGCAAAGAAAGAAAGAAGAAAATTAAAAGAAAGTGAGAATTTAAAGAAGAAAGAGAACAAATGTATTAACAATGGAACCCCAATCCCAACCACCATGGCTCTCTTAGTTGGTAACTGGCTTTAATTATCTCTCTCTCTCTCTCTCTCTCTCTCATGCAATTGCGTCTTCTTCTTCAAGAAATGCCGTTAAAGGTTGGGTTTCTCTCTGCTTCTCTCTCTCTATATCTCTTTATCTATTTTTCTCTCCTCCCCCTGCCCACCATTTCATTTACTTGCTGCTGCTGCTTCTTCTTCTTATTCTTCTTTTTCTTCTTTTTCTTCCTCATTTCAGCTCTTATTATTGGCTGCTATGCAATGCTCTGGCTCAATGCTCAAGGTTCTTTAGGTTCGATTTCTCTCGCTCTCTTGGGTCTGCTGAAATTGCCCTGTTCTTCTTCTTCTTGTTCTTATTCTTGAGTTTTATGCAATGTGGGTTGATTTTTGGTGGGGTTTTCTAATTGGGTTTTTAGATCTAGAAAATGGGTTTTGGAGTATTTGGAGAGCTGGTTTCTATGGTGGCTTGGAGTGAGAGATTACTTCTGGCTGTTTGGTTTCTGTGAATGTCAATTGGGAAAATCATTGTCAATGTCTCTGAAATTTTCAATGGGAATTTGGTTTGGGTTTTAGGGTTTGAAAAGGGTTTTTAAATCTGTCCTCTGTGTATAAGACTGATGCCGCCTTTTTGGCCATTTCTTTGACTGAGAGGACACCCTTTCACTGTAAGCGACTTGCAGTTTGAATTAATAAGAAGTCTTTGATTTACCAAATCTTCACTGGCTATTGTAAAATTCTACTGGGAACACCATCAACATTTGATTTCTTTCTACACGTCTTTAATTTTACTTTGAGAGTGCTGGTTTTTTGGCTCTTCTTCCATGGCTGACTTTTCTGTGGGTTGGCAAAAAGATTGGACCCTTCCCCTGTTTAATTATTCATCATCTTCTTCTCCATTTTGCTGTGGCTTTAGGTCTGATATGGGCCTCCATTATCAAGTGTTTCTCTTTTGCATTTGGTTGTTGGATTTTGATTCAATTATCAAAGTTGGAAAAAAGTAAAAGTTAGCTGAACTTTCCTTTTGGACAAAAAAGTAGAATTCTTGCTTCTTTTTTTTCCCCTCTCATTTAAAACTTCACAGAACATAATCAAGCAAAATCTTCTCCCCTTTGTTTCTCTCAAAGTTTTGCATTTTAGGTCCTAACTTTCCGGATTGTTGTTTTAATTTTTTGGATGAATACGCTTCGTTCTCGTGCATTATTTTACATCTATCTGTAACCATAGAATCATTTGGGCAATGCAAAAGGAAAATTAAAAAAGTGAAAAAGGGCTTCTATAAGCATTTCTTTTGCTGCTCACTTTAATGCTTTTTCTTTTCGCAAAAAAAAGGCTTATGCTTTTGTCTTTTCATTCCTTCTTCTCCATCCCCATATCCACACCACACGACTTGTAGATATTCATTGAAATCTGAATTTTTATTAGCGCTTAAGACATGTAATTGAGACAAATATGTGGCTTTCTCAAGATTCGGAAGGACTGGCTCGAGTTCCGGACAAGCTTCTCCCACTGGTGAATCCATCCTACTCGTGTAACAAGGAGCATACTCGTTACACCTAATGTGAAATGGGTAGTTAGATCTCCTTCATTTTTTATGAAAGTAGTTGAAATGATTACGCAGCCCTGTGTTATGTTTCGGAAGTGTAAAATTACCACTAACATCCTAACAAATCTCCCCTTCCCCCTCTTCCTGTCCTCGTAGGTCGGTTTGGCTTTTGGTTTAGTTTCTAGACGAGCTTCTTATTTTTGTTTTGATACCATATTTCTTAATTCTACATCACTCCTGCATTTTCTAACCATGCCTGTGATAGAAGGCTACTTTTATTTCTTTGCACTGATGTGTTAATTGCTTCTTTCTTTGCATTGAGATGAGTTTGGTCGATTCCAATCATTTTTGAGTTTGTAATAGATAGCAGAAATTCCTGATAATGTTTATTACTCTGCAGGGAAGAGAACTTGTTGATTACGTCCGGATTTCCTGCAACCACCATAGGCCTCCACTAGAAATCCTCCATGAGGCTACAATCCCTTTTTGCAACATCACCTTTACTCTTACTCATATATTTTCTCCCCGGAATTGTGGCTGACCTAAACTCAGAAAAGCAAGCTCTTCTCGAGTTTATTTCGATAGTTCCCCATGGTCGAAAGATCAACTGGGATCCTTCTACCCCAGTCTGTACTACTTGGGTTGGCATCACCTGCACTTCAGATCTCTCAAACGTGCTTGCTCTCAGGCTGCCTGCCGTTGGACTGTATGGTCCGATCCCCACCGATACACTTGGAAAGCTAGATGCCCTCAGAACTTTGAGTCTTCGATCTAATAATCTTAACGGAAACCTTCCATCAGATGTGCTATCCCTTCCATCCCTAAAGTTTATATATCTTCAACACAATAACTTTTCTGGTAAAATTCCTTCTTCCCTGTCTCCTGGCCTTACCTTCCTTGATCTGTCCTTCAACTCTCTCACGGGAAACATTCCGTCATCGGTACAGAATTTAACACATCTCACTAGCCTTAACCTTCAAAACAACTCCCTGACTGGATCTATTCCCGATATAGGTCACCCAAAGCTTAAGCAACTGAACTTAAGCTACAACCATCTAAGCGGTCCAGTTCCTGCTTCACTGCAATCATTTCCTCCTTCTTCCTTTGAAGGGAACTTACTGCTATGTGGCTCTCCTCTGAAAAATTGCTCTCTCAGTTCACCCTTACCGTCTCCATCTCCCACTTCTTCGATCCTGCCAAATAAAAAGAGGATAAATATTGGAGCGATCGTTGCCATTGCATTAGGTGGTGCTGCAGTTCTCTTCCTTCTGGTGTTAATGATTGTTGTCTGCTGTATGAAGAAAAAAGATGGCGAAGGTAGTGCTGCTGCAGTGAAAGGAAAGGGTAAAAGGAGCGAGCAACCGAAGGAGGATTTCGGGAGCGGGGTACAAGAACCCGAGAAAAATAGGCTGGTTTTCTTTGAAGGCTGTTCTTATAATTTCGACCTCGAGGACTTGTTAAGGGCCTCGGCCGAAGTGCTCGGAAAGGGGAGTTATGGGACTACTTACAAGGCTATCTTGGAGGATGGAACAACAGTGGTAGTAAAGAGATTGAAAGAAGTAGTAGCTGGAAAAAAGGAGTTTGATCAACAGATGGAGATTGTAGGGAGGATGGGCCAGCATTCTCATGTTGTGCCTCTCCGCGCCTATTACTATTCAAAGGATGAGAAGCTTTTGGTTTACGATTATGCCGCTGCTGGAAGCTTTTCGGCATTACTGCGCGGTATGGCTCTATTAAATCTCTCTCATCATATTTATTGCTTTTATGGATCTTTTGCTCTTTATGGATGAAAGCCAGAAAATAACGCTGCTCCCGTCGCATTCTGCAGGAAGCCGAGAAGGCGGACGAGCGCCACCGGACTGGGAAACAAGAGTGAAGGTTTCACTGGGGTGTGCCAGAGGCCTTGCACATATCCATTCAGCAAGTGGGGGAAAGTTCATCCATGGCAACATAAAATCCTCCAACATCCTTCTCACACAAGAACTGAATGGATGTATTGCGGATTTCGGGCTGACTCCTCTGATGAACTCCCCTGCTGTTCCCTCTAGAAGTACAGGTTACCGAGCACCGGAGGTGATAGAGACTCGAAAATCAACTCAAAAGTCCGATGTTTACAGTTTTGGAGTTGTTTTGCTCGAGATGTTGACTGGGAAAGCACCATCCCAATCGCCAGGCCGCGACGACGTAGTTGACCTTCCGAGATGGGTCCAGTCTGTTGTAAGAGAAGAATGGACATCTGAGGTGTTTGATGTAGAGCTAATGAAGTACCAGAACATTGAAGAAGAGCTGGTACAAATGCTCCAAATAGCAATGGCCTGCGTGTCTCGGATGCCCGATATGAGACCAACGATGGAGGAAGTCGTTAGGATGATCGAGGAAATCCGACCATCTGACTCGGGAACTCGACCATCATCAGAAGATAACAGAGCCGGGGACGGGGACGATGGCTTGAACACTCCGACCTTGTAACTGCTGTCTCACAGTGAGTTATTGGTGTGTGTGTGACGTAATTCTTTATATTTGGAGGGTCTCATTGTTGTAGGTTTTGATTGGGTCTGTATTTCTCTCTTGTAATAACCATGTCAAAGTTGTATCCATTATGTTCTTAGTTCAATCATTAGTTATTAAAATTTGATCATATTTTCATCACTTTGTATTTTTGGCTTTGTTAATTACTTTTTGCTACATAATTATAATTAAACGATTCTTGAAAAAAAAAAATATTGTTACTATGCAGTTTGAACTATTTATCATAAAGTATGGGAATAATTTTTCGATGATTATTAAAAAAAAGGAAAAAGGAAAAATTATAACACTTTTTCAAGTTGAAATTGTAATGTGATGAAATTGAAAGTACAGAGAAAGGAGAGTTTTTGAGATATATGTTAATTATCACTGAGTTATGCTCGTTTTGTAGAGGGATAAGAATTTCTCTACAAACTGTTCAAACTAAAATTGATTAGTGTTGCTATGCATTTCGAACCATTTATGGGCTATTGGATATAAAAATTTGGATACAAGCAATTCAATGATAAGTTCTTAATTTACGTTTACTTTGTATTCAATAATAAGCCAGTAAATAACAAATTCAATTTTAAATAAAAATGAGCAATTTTATGAAAAATAATGAAAATTGATACACTTTTGCTAAATTCAAGCTTATTAAATTTCAATTAGTTATTTCAATATAAAAGTATGTTTTTCGAAAATACATTATTTTATTTTATGTGTTTTCAAATTCATTAGCAAACAAAGTTTTGCAATTTTTAATTTAGATTTAATTTTTTTTACTCAAACTTAACAAAAATACGTATTTTTTAGTACAAAAAATATAGGGATAGGAGATTGAAGATTCGACCTCTAGAAGAGAAAAAAAAAGATGCATACATGCTCGTGTTTGCACTTAGGAAGAGTGTCTTGAAACTATTCCATTGAGTTTCCCTTACTCCGAATAACCACAACATTTATTTCACATACATATAATGATTTTTCAAATTGATTAAGACTACTGTTTATGTATACTTCTTTATGTTACTGATTGTTGCTTCATTAATAGTTTTTATACAGGAAACTAGGTAAGGTCAAGCCTAGTCAAGGTATGAGAGATGGAATAGCTTGAACGTTCAATAAAGGAATGACCTACACAAGAAAGGCAAAAATTCCGATGCTCAAGTCATTATAAGCTCAGACTTAATAGGGAGTTCGAGATAAAATTTGATACCTAATGCATAAGTGAGACTCTCTATTTATAGGTTAGGGCTCCAACAGGCTATCTGACAAAACAGTTATAAGTGTCGGTCTGAAGGTCGAACATATCGGGTGCCTAGGCTTAGACTATTCGAAGATTGCATTACTGGAGTACTTCTCAACAACGTATTGTGACTAAGTATAGCGCCTGAGACCTGTTCGAAGTGGCTTTTAAGCATGACATAGTCTACATGGAACTTTATTTGTCCTCCACATGACAATGTGATTTTCTCTCCCCAACAAATAGTTTCACTATTCGATTTTGATTTTTATAGGGTGGTACTAAAATCTAACCCTGATCAGACATAATTTTAACAAGATTATACCCTTAAGAACCAAAAAAATATTATTGCTATTTGAGCATGTAAAATTAGAGAAGCTACCGATTCTCACAAGTAAAAGAATGGATAAGATTGGAAGGCGGTAAGAAAATAAAAAAAAGGGGGATTTTTGGGATCGCTATAAATATTCTAAGTCCGCTGTGATTTGGGTTGGCGATTGGCGGAGCTCTTGGGTCTCCACATTCTCAAATTGCAGAAAAATCAAAGGGTAAAGAGACCCACCAAGAAGTAGCGGTTGGTTTCTGGGGGCGGCCCTGGATCTGCTTTCCAACTCTATTTCCCCTCCCCGCCGATCTT